CCTCCGAGGGAGGAGCTATAACTCCACCCACTTTCATGGTAAGAATGATAATAGTATTATTATACAGAAGTAAGACGACAAAATGTATACTAAGTAAGGATAATAAATTGCCGAATAAAGAAAGACAAAAGTATCACTACTAAAATTTACAAATCTACCCTCACTCTTAAGAAGGAGGAGCTTAGTTTTGTTCATCTTATAATAACAATAATAATAATAATAGTAATAGTATTTTCGGTATATAATAAAAGTGTGTGAGGTAGAAACTGGAATAAAAGAGTATCATAAATTAAATAGAATATGTGTAGAAATTATTTGTATTCACAAATCTCTTCTCACTTGTTGGAGGAGGAGCTTTTGCTCCGCTTATCATAAAAGTGATATTTAATAATAACATAAACGAACAACGAGAAAAGCGTAACCTCAGAATACTAAAATGTAGGAGACGCAACAGCCAGAAATATGAGAATACAGAAAAAAGAAGAAAGTAAATATTAATTAATTAATGGACTGCGTGTAAAGGGGAGATTCAAGCATTTGAGAGGCGTTTCCATCACGAGACAGAAATCCATGGTGTTAACTGTAGATCGAGGCAACTTGTAGTTTCAATGACGTTCTGTTCAAATATTTGCCACCGTAAGTGAAATTCCGTTTCGGGAAAATGTCGGGGAATACCCGAGAATTTCAATTTTCTACCCTTTTGTGATCAGATAACTCAATCCTTTGACATATTAGTTTATTTCTCGATTACAAGAAAGAGCACCTTGAGCAATTTCTTTATTTTAAAATTCTATTTCGGGTAAAGTCCCCACACACCAGGAAATTTACAACAATTAAGTCAATTCAGAAGAATTACCTATAAACGATAAACATCGTTTACCATATAAATACAGAGATCTCATATAGAAAGGTTCCAAGAAAAATGTAATATTTATTTTAATGAAAAAGCATAAACAAAATTTTATTCCATGACATTTATTCATGACAGAGAAAGCTCGTATTTTATAACAACAAATATAATATTTCCAGCAGAAAATAAAAAAGAAATCAGAAAGTATATTTTTCATACATTCATTACGTAAATATTACACGAGAAATATTTTTCTAGTTGTGTAAAAACTGTTCGTTTCATCAATTGCACCCTCAGTGGTGTTGATTACGTGCCAAACTCCCAGCAAATCGACCAGGGTTCGATTCCATAGAGTGTAAAGGGGGGGATTCCCGGAATTTACATTTTTATGTGTGTTTTTCACATTAGAATTGTCTGAAACGCGTTCTCTGGGTGATCAATAGCTTTCTGGATTCAGCGAATTATAAAATATTTCCATATTCCCGGCAACGTTGACTAGAGCATGCGATGTTCCCAATATTTTCCTCCCTCCACAGTTGGACGCAACGTGTCACCCTCTACACAATTGGATCGTATTTTAATAATGGTATAATGGAACGCTTTCCACTGAGATCATTCAAGAATATATTATCCTACATCAAAGCTGGTAGAGAGAAAAGGGTTGGGAGATAAATTAAATTCCATTTCTACGAACCCCAGGCTTTATTAATGATTAATAATTATGGATGATCTTGTGCCACCTGTATTTACCGATGGAGTGAAAATTAGATATTACTAAATAGGACAACGCTATATTCGACAGGCATTGTGTTTGTAGCCACAAGGGTATGCTTTTATCCCTTTTCCAATACTCCAACAACCCCCCTAGAAGTGTGAATCTGAACGAAAGTAAGAGAGTGTTCGCGAGGCAAATAAAAAAATCCTTCTCCCCGCCCTCGTGAAAGTTATACGGAGAGATTCTGTGAGAGGGTCAAAATATGAAGAAGAAAATCCGAAAATGATTTGGCTTCGAAAGAAAATTGGGTATCGAAGGGGGAAAGATGATTTACCGTCGAAGCCCTTTTCTCAGCAACGATAAATAACCTAAATAACGTTTTAGAGGGTATAGGACTTTTCCTAGAGAAACTGCAAGAATATTGTAGAAGAGAAAAAGGATGATTGGAAAGGAAATGAAAAATAAAATTCTTTAAAAGAGGGAATAAAAAAGGAATAAATTAATTTTTACAGAAAATAGTATTATTAACACTAGGTTTACGGGCATTTATTGTACAGTTTATTCTATTGTTCCTGGGGAAATTGATATTCGTTCATTTAGATTTTGGAAATTGTAGATGTAGAAATAGACAATCAGAATTCATATTCGTGTAACTGGATCAACGAAAACCGATTAAAACATTTACCGAATAATGTTTATAAAATTCGACCTGCGTCAAATTGACGCGTTCCGTAAACCTAGCGTTAACACTATACCTACCAACACTTCACGTATACCTATTCCTTCCGCGACCGGTCAAACGACCGATCTTTAACACAACTTATATTTTTTAGTATAGAATGAAGATAATAACCAATTTGATAGTATAAAAGTACAGTTTCTTTTATTCAGAAGTATATAATGTATATTTCATCCGTTTTCACCGCATTTTTAGATATAGGCTTCTCGATTGTACATTTTCCACATATGTACTTTTTACATTTTAGACAAACTTTGTTAGTCTTACTGTCTTTGCAATATCTTATCTGGCATTTTTTCCGTTCACGTGAACCTGTACTTGTATTTGTGACGGGTGTTGGTTGATCTTATTTGCCTAGCTGTAGCACTTTTTGATATTCGATGGCAAGTTCTTCTGCCAATTGAAATAAAAATTCTCGTCTCGAAATTTCTTCTCCCGTGGTTTCTGTGTATAAAACCCATGCATTTATCCCAGCTAAGTGTAGGATATTGAAAAATAACAGTAAAGATCATCTCCGACATTTACATTTTACCAATTTTGCCGAGGCCGATAGACGAGCGAGAACTGTAAACACTTGGAAGTGCCGTAAAGCAGTCCCTGGAAGGCACTTTTCGGCTAAAATCATGCCACAACTGCGTTACCTTTCGTTTGTAACGACTTTATAGTTTCGGAATTGAGTCTTTGAGAGAATACTATTACAAAAAGATATAAATCATTCTGCCGGTCAAATGACCGGTCGTGGTAGGTAAGAGAGACTACAAATTTTTCTCAGAAAACAAACAATAAAAAAAGAAGTGAATATTGAAAAATCTATTATACGTATATTCCAGGAAAAGTCGTGAAGTTTAAAGGCAATTCAATTACGTTGTATATAGGAAATTCTGATAGAAATTTTAAAAACGGTCATTTGACCGGTCGTGGTAGGAATAGTGGTAAGGTCTTCAAGGATATAAAGTAAAAAATTGTTTATTAAGGGAAAAAGCTGCTCAAGAGCTTTTCTCAGGATGAAATAGATAACCTAAATAACGGTTAGTGAGAGGATGTATATGAAAAGGGAAAAATGAGAAATTGAAAAAGAGAAGTCCTCGCAAAAAAAATATCAAGGTGCACTATGCTGAGAGAAATATATTAACCCTTTGCACTCGGCAGTTTTTCAGTAGAAATATTTGAACATTTTCTGATGAGATAAAGACGACATTATTTGAAACCAACTTAACGATAATTTACAGATAAAATAAGCAAAAAAGCTATTTTATTTAAATATTTCACATTGCAACACAAAGTTTAATTTAAAATAGTAAATATTCAACTTCATAGTTTTGTTGTATCAAATCAAGTAGTGACTGAGAGTCACCTTTCGAGTGCAAAGGGTTAAGAACTCCAAGGATTTAAAGTAGAAAAAGAAAAATGGCGGAATACATGGAGTATGAAATGAAAGTAAAATTACTGTTAAGGGAAAAATGTATCTTGGATTCTCTAACTTCAAAGTTCTAGAATTCTCTTGAAGTAACAAGGGAGCAATTGAGAGGAAAAAATGAAACTCGAGAATGTATGGAATACGTAATACACAGGAAAATGACACTGTTCCATATTCAAGTGTCCTTTAATTAAAGGAAATAGGGTGAATTAAAGCGAAGCCAGTCTGCGAGGTGTATAAGGCTCCATGTAATGGGAGTCGAACGCGAAGTCGAACTGCTTTCTATTTCAAACATTACCACTGGTATCATTTGCCGCTAATTACTAGACCGACTGCGCGGAATACTGTGAAATCCCTCATCTCTTTCATTAGTATCGAGTTGACATGAAGTTATTCTAGTGATTTTATATCGTATTCTTTGTTAGAAGCTGGTCTGAAAAGTCCGCTGAGTCTTGTTGTGACATTTAAATATTACATCCATGTCTCAGCAAGTTTTAATTACTGACTTGAAGAATTGATGCCTCTAATTTTAATTATCTTTGACAGTATTCCTATTCTCAGTGAAGTTATTAAAGCATATCTGAGATTCTCAGTGGATTCTGAAGAAATTTTCGCAAGGTTCCAAGGAGTTCTTGAAATTTTGAAAGAATTCCTGAAAGAACTCCTTGGAACCTTGTGAAAATTTCTTCAAAATCCATAGACATCTCAGTGATAGTTCTCAGTGATAGTACAGCCCATAAACATCTCAATGATGCTTAAGAGATTCTGAGGAGTTTCAATCATTCTCACAAATCCAAATAAGACTCTTAGTAACTAAAATAAGATCCAGACTATTCTTCTAATGGATATTCTTATTTTTGCTACAGAATATTATATAATAAGTATCTTCACATTATTCGCTTTTAACCCTTTGACTGCCACGTCACCCGAATACGGGTGACACGGGAGAATTTTGAGGGTTATTTAATTGGCAATCAAAGTGTTAAATCCAGTGATTCTCAATGAAACTCTCAATATCCCTGAGATTCTCAGATATCTCTGCTTCACCGAAGAACTCCATTTTTTCTACATGTAATTTTATAGGAGAATAAAATGGATATTAAAATATCAATTAAAATGACTAATTATAAATGACAAATTATTATCAGCATTACCAATAACAAAGTGAATTACTTAACTTTTAAAGTAAATCATTAAGAATTAAGTGTAACAAAGAGTATAGAACTCCATTCAACGTGTTTCATTTCAACGTAACTGTCCAGTTTAATTGAAAACTCACCTGTCATCGAAATATTCCCCTGGTGACATTGTCTCGCTTTTATCTTCAGTATCTCTTTCTGTATATTCGGGCTGTTCGGTTTATTAAAATCGATATCCTCCTGCAACAAATAAAGAAGAAATGTTAAACTGTTGCCTTCTCTTCTTCTCCCTGGATCTTTCGTTTCAACTTGCGAACCATCGTATAAAAATTTCTACTCCTCTTAGTAAAATGTATCTCGCCCATCAGTAATAATTAAAATAGCGTTTCGCATGAGAAACATGATTCAACTTCTTACTTTTCATTATCGCCGGTTGAATCTTTTTTAGAAAGAAATTGCAACGGACGAGCTCGCGTAGATGACTAACAGTAATAAGAAGGGAGAACCTTTTAGCGTAATAAACACAACATGGAAATTGAAAGATGTTAACAGATTCCAGATCAGATATTCTGTTGCTTATTATGCTTAGCCATTTACACTAACACCCATAATTATAATTATCATTATAATTAATCATACAGTATGGACACTTTATCTGTTCTTCACACAGCGTCCCACTGAAATGTTAAAATTTTATATTTTGATAAGAATTACATTTCGATAAGTAACATTCTGTAATAACACTATCTTCTATCAATAATACTACCAGTGATTACTATACAACATAAGACAATATTAAAATAATACAAATAAAATAAATTGCTGTTTTAGTTTCGATTATCCATCGCCGACTCAAACGTTTCGTTAATCACAGAACTTATTATGCGTATTTAGTGTTAATGTCGGTTTTAAGTATTTTCAGGTTATTGCCCGTTTAAATGTCTATTCGATATGCAATAATAAAAATAACGAACGTTACAACCATCTTGCTCTAAATATATTTTACTTAATAAAGATTTATTAAATATTCCTGTTCTCACAATGTTTACTGAAAAAGATAAACAAAACAAATAATCGTAATGAATTCATCGAATGAAAAGATAGAATTAAGTTCCGAATTTAACAGAAATTGGAACGTATCAAACCGACATAGAAAACTTGAGATACCTCGTCCGTAATGCGTTAAGGAAGTTTCCAACGGAGAATAGGATTCAAATGCGCAGTCTGTTAACTCCGCTTTTGTCCGTTCTTTCCTTCCACGAGTTCGAGGACTCTGGGTAAGGGGGAAGAATGCGGCAGGAATCCTAGTTAAATCAGTTCGTTGCGGATTCGAGTAACTGAAAAATGTTGCCGTGGGTCCTTGGCCACGGTGGAGCTCCGCGGAATTTCTCGTGTTCAATTGGGAACAGGAAAGCTGCTCGCCGAAGACAATTCTTGCAAGAATATTACATACCCAAGTATTTCTGCGAGAGAAGATCTGTTCTCTTGCATGCTATTTTCACGTATGCTGCTTGTGCGCTTGTATTTTTGAATCACACTTGATAAAGTGTCACGGAGATACTGACGACGGGTGTAAGAAAGAATTGTTGAGTCCAAGGGTGCTTCACAGAACAAGGTTATTTGAATAATGCTTGAAAAAATGGAATGACAGATATTCTAGGATGTTTGTGGAATTCGAAAAATATCGAGAGAGTGGTATTTGTAATATTACTGTGATTGTGATAGGACTTTAGGGGGTTTTAGAATAATTTTTTGAAGAATTTTAGATAAATGAAATTTGAATTTTAGAATGCGAATTGCTTTGGGAAAAGTGATTTAAGGTAATTTAGAATATTCAAGGAAGTACTAATAGAATGTAGATCCTGGGAAATTCTGAAGGATTTCCGAAGATTTAGAATATATTGGGAGATTTTAGAGAGTCCCAGATTTTGGGGATTACTGAAAAGCTCAGGAAGTTTTAGAGGATCTTAACAAAAGTCAAAGGATGTCAGAAAGCCCTAAGAACGTAATTTAGGAAATTCTCGAAGAAATTCTGGTAAAGCTTGAAGGTGTCCTTAGAAGTCCTAAAAGAATCAATGATTATAGAAGGTAGGTAACTTCAGGGAGTTTTGGGAAATTTTATGAATCCTGAGAGGAAAACAGTCTCAATAAAAAGTGGTCTAAAGAAATCATGGGGAGTCTCGGAAAGTCCTGTAAGATCCTGGACGATGCCAACAAATTTCAAGGAGTTCTGGCAAGTTTCAAGCAATTTCAGGTTATACAGAAACTCTCTTTTTCTCCGTACAGAAATCTCTAACTTTCCATTGTCCAAGAGATGTTATTGTTATTATCTCCATATAAACACGATGATTCCCAAAGATGTCCAAAACATCTAAAGACCATTAATCGAACCCCAAAATATCCTACAAACCCTAATGACATTTCAAGTACTATCATAACGATATTGATCTCTAATTTTCATCATCGTCCAAGACATTTCACATTCATCTTCTACAAATAAACACAGTGATTCTCAAAGAATATCTATAGTACCACTAGACCTTTAATCAAATCCCAAGATACTCTAAATACTCCCAGTAGTATCTCAAGCATTATCACGACGATATCAATACCTAATCTTCAGCATCGTCCAGGATATTTCATTACCATTATCCCCAAATAAGTACAATGATTCCCAAGAAAGTCCTATCGATGAAGAAACATCCAAAGACCTTTAATCGAATCCCAAAATATCCTAAAAACTCTTAATGGCATTTAAAGAACTATTACAACGATGTTAATCTCTAATTTTTGTCATTATCATTATTTCGAAATAAACCCAATGTTCCCCAGAAATTTCCAATGCATCCAAAGATTTTAATAAAATCCCAAAATGTCCTAAAAATCCTTAATGACAATTCAAACCCTTAAGAACTATCATAACGATGTTAACCTCTAATTTTTCTCATTATCATTACCTTCAAATAAACCCAATGTTCCCCAAAAATATCCGAAACATCCAAAAACCTTTAACCAAATCCGAAAATATCCTGAAGACCCACAATATCATCTCAAGCACACAAACGTATTCTTATCAGCACCCTCTTATACCTGTCTCTCACAGTCAACAATATTTCCACCTAAACCCTTGTTGACCAGCCGGCATTCTAATGGTATTTCCCTCGAGCACGGTCCGGCGGATCCAGCAATAAATTCACCCTTCGATTGAAAGTAAACAGCTGGTGCCAGCCGAGGAGAGGATCGTGTCGCGGACGGTCAGCTAGAACCAGCGAAGCCAGAAAAGTCTTTCCCCCCATTCTACCTTACGCCTTCCCCTACCTCATTCATCATCAACGGACATCAACAACCCCCACAGCCACCACAGAACCCTATACCAACGCCACGGAGAAGGTAAGTACTAACTGTGCAGCTCTCGCGTCCAGAGTCGATCTTAAAAACTAAAAAGTGCAAAGGGACAGGAGGAATCGATCGCACGCTCCACGTCGGACCTTCCAGGAAACATAGTAGCAAGAGCCTCCGCGTTCCCGAGATTCGGTAAATCTAAAAAGCCGCCATTGCGTAGAAACGAAATTCAACGTCAATGTTCGTTACATCTCATCTGTCGTGTTCCGCCTGCTGCCTTCGTCACATGTTTGGCCAATAACACCAACTGTTGTTCTATAGCTATTGACCCAAGCATCCTAAGTGTAAGAGACCCCTTGCCTCTTGTCAACTTTTAGGATTGACTAAGGATGTAAGAGCCGCATAAAGATCCGAATGTTTAACTTGTGGCAGTACGTCTCCTACTCCGCCAATAAAGGGCTACCGACACCTAAGAGCCTTTCTCGCTCCTGCTAAGTCCGGAAGCTTTTTGTATATGTAAGGTCCGTAAATATCCTATCCTCGTCCCTGCGTCTAAAGCACGGGCCTACCAGAAAGCCTTACTAATGAGTCCACTGGTAGATCATGGAAACCGAAACCCTCTGTCCTAACCTTTTCAAACTTCTTCCTCGTTTCAGTAATTTAACAGGCAGCTCCAAATGTCTTGTACATACCACGGAGATCTTGATCAAACATCACAATCCCAGGCTGAAGCCTTACCAACATAGCTTCCTGAAGATGACGAGTCTTATGGATAGTTTACATTGTAGACTGTTAGTAGCGGCGAGATGCTTTCCAAAGCTCTACTAACTATCCAGGCTAATGCCGGATCAGTGTGGGACGCTGCTCGCACGCCGAGATTCTCGGGAAACCCCTAGCCTAGCATATGCCGGCATGCGACCACTGTGAAGCTAACGCCATGATTTCTATAGACCACCTTTTATGGAGACTCCGTTTTCCTCTCAGGATTCATAGAATTTCCGAAAACTCCCTGAAGTTACATAGGATCCTCTCGAACCGCCTAAGATCTTTTGCACCTTCTGTGGTCATCGATGCTACTAGAACTTGTTAGAACACCTTCAGGTTTTTCAGATTTTCTTCCAAGATTTTCTAAGTTACTCTAGTTTGTTTACCTTATTAGAACTAATCATTTAGCTCGCCAGAATGGGAATAATTAACACGCTGAATATCATGGGGGTCACCGGTGACCCCCAACCAAATCGAATTAATATAGTTCACTCAATTAAACGATGATTATTTAGAAACATTTCTATATTACAAATAATGCAACTTAATAATATAATGCAATAATAATAATGCAATTCAATCAAATAATTTAACCTTGTGCGGACGAAAATACTTTGAAATATACAAAGTTTCCAACAAATGAAGTTAAATTAAATTACTCAATTAATAGGAAAAAGGAAACTACGAGCCGATCTCTCGCTGTCAGAGTAACTAAATCATTTCTCCGCGACTTCCAAATATGAACACTTCATCTCTCCGAAGTCTCGACGTTCGGCCGCAAAGTGTTAATATTAAATTCTTTCCGTTTTGTGTATTTGTTTCTTCGATTTATGCTACAAATTCCGGTTTCTTATATGCTACTTTTGGGGAGTAACCTTTGTCTATAGTCTATGTCTGCGTCATAGGCTGAACGTGGAAATTGTCCAAAAAAATTTTCAATGCGTCACGACTGCATCGTCACAGGTTTCAACGTGTGTGGGGCTGATGGAGCTAACGAGAGAGGCGGACTGTAGCTCGTCCGTTGGGCTAGCTCAGAGATCTTGGGATCCCCAATTCCCATACCGCAGTCGCTATGTGGCTCCTGAGGGTACTGAAAACTGCACAGTGCTTAACCCCTTGTGCTACAAGAACAA